TGTTATAGTCTTCATCCTGCAGACCTTTCTCAGACAGGTTGTTAGATTCATCAAAAATAACATGAACATTTTCTTCTACACACATAGTTCTTTTATTAAATATTTTGCAAGCTTTACTATATGGTGAGTAGCCTAGGAAAGCTCCCTCATCACTTCTGTCATCAAACTTACCTAGAGCTTCTTTGCCATTGTTGTGCAAAAAACATTTGCACCCAAAAGCTCTTAGGTGAGTGATGTTGGGCTTTCTTCCTCGAAGTAACTCATAGAGAGTCTTCTCAAGAATGGGTTTGATCATGCATCTGTTTGACAAGTAACATGCAGTACTGATTGCTTCAGCCCAAAAGCTCTTGGGCAGTCCACTGGCAATTAGCATGGTCCAGCCCATATCTTCTAGAAATCTATTCGTTCTTTCCACGAAACTATTTTGTTGTGTCTGGGTGCAGAGAAATTGTGATCATTTCCATGAATGCTACAAAACTCAAGGAATTTAGATTTTTCAAACTTAGTCCTATGGTCTGTTCTTATACTTGAAATAACACTTCCTAGTTTCTATTGAATCATTCTGACAAACACATAGAAAACATCAAAAGTTTCATCCTTAGATGCCAAAAACAAGGTCCATCTGTACCTAGAGATACTTCTTGCATCCCCTGATCTTCACTCTCATTGGTTCACATAGGTCCATGTGGAGGATTTCTAGGGGTTTGGAAGTACTGACAACTTTCTTAGATTTAAAAGATGACTTTACATGTTAGCCTCTAACACAAGCATCACGTACTCTGTCTGATGTGAACTCAACTTTTGCTAGTCCAAGGATCAGGTCCTTTGCTGCCAACTTGCTGAGTTGAGATAGACTGGCATGTCCCAGTCTTTATGTCATAACAGTGGGTCATCTTCCACTACACTTAAACATGTATGCTCACTCTGAGGGAGAGACATAATAGATATCTTGTAGACATTGTTATGTCTCCTACCTTCCAAAATAATTTCATAAGTATCCAGCTTAGTGACAGTGCAGATTTTGGAATTAAACTTTACATCATTGCCTTTATCATACATTTGAGAAATGCTGAGAAGATTATGTTAAAGACCAACTACATAGTACATATCTTTTATAGCTTAAGAGAGTGCCTTACCAACCTTACCAATATATGTTATGTTTTCCTTTTTCCCATTTCCAAATGACACACTTCCTCTTTGGAAGGCTGTCAACGAAAGGAAGTTTTTCTTTTCACCAGTCATATGTCTTGAGCATCCACTGTCTAGATACCAGTCTTGATTATTTTCTCTCACATTAGCCTGCACCAGAAATCACAAGTTAGTTTTGGGAACCCAAACAAGCTTGGGTCCCTTTTTATTTGAAAAAGGATGAATCAAATCTCTTCTTGCCCAGAAGGAAAGAGTAATAACATTTCTTTTCTTATTAACCTTAATCCACTTAGTTTAGAAAAATGACTTGACTGTGGGTTCTTCTTCCTTCTTCACATGTTTAAAAAGCCCAAAGGTGTTCTTAAACCGAGCATGAATTAAAGCAGGGCAAGTATCTCTTAAGTGTCCTACCTTCCTACAGTGAGTGCACATCTTATTATCAGAAATTCCTACATATATTGGATCAAACATGAGTACAGGTTTTCTATTGTCAATCCCTTATTTGTTAGTGCTGCAATTTTTATTTAGTCAATTTAGTGCATCTGAGGATCTATGTCACTTGCTTAGACTAGATAGTTCATACTTTGCCTTTTCAAGATTTTCTAGCAATACTTTATTCCTACATCCAACATCACAAAGACTATCTTTAAGCTCTTTCAATTCCTTTCAAGCTTACCTTGCAGATCACTCATTATTCCCATGCCATGTGCACCAGGTAGCTGCTCATTTTTAGAAGTGAGCTTAAGAACCTAGTTCTTAAGATCTTTGACATGTCCTTCAAGATAAGCTTTGTCAGATTCAAGTTTTTTGAGGTCAAGTTTAACACAGGAAAGATTGCTTATTAACTAATCATTTTCAACACTCAACCTATCCATTTCACTCATCATGGTCACTATTATGAACATTAGCTGTTTTTTAGACATGGCATGGATATTTTCTTTCAAGTTAGAAATACTTACCTGGTTTATTTTATCTTCAACTCCTGAGTCGCTCATGGCCATAATCCCTATCACTACATCTTCTATTTCGCTTTCTTCAATTTCCATTAGAGCAACTTTAATATTTTCATTTCCAAAATCAGCCTCCAATGTTCTCCATACATCATGAGTTGAAATGTAAGAGGACACCTTGTAGAGAACACTCCTTGGTAAACTCCTATATAGCAGATCATTTGCCTTAGCATTTTTCTGAATCATCTAACGATCCTCAACATCATAATCCTCCTCTCTCCTGATATTTTTGTTTCCATCACTATCCATTTTGGTAGGGATAATTGATCCTTTGCCTAGAATTTTTCCTTTGTTTAGGCCCTTCTCTTTCATTCTTTCCCTTTTATCTTTTTCAGCTCTTTCTTTCTTCTATTCGATTTCCTACATTGGGAAGTCTTTGACAATGTGGTCTAGCTTGTTGCACTTGTAGCACCCATCGTATGAAGCTTTGTCAATCTATTTAGGTTTGCCACTTTTTTCTCTCTTAGATGCATTTTTGGAATTCTTCATGAACCTCTTGAACTTAGCAAACATTTCTAGGTCGAGTTTATCATTGTCAAATTCATCTTCTTTGGATGCCTTAAGCATCAAGGCCTTATCCCTCTTCTGTTCCTCATTGCGTAATTCCAACTTTCTCATTTTTATGAGTCTTTAAGTTTCCAGCTAGCTCATCCACTGAAATCTTATCTAACTCCTTTGCTTCCTGGATGGCTATGACTTTTGATTCCCATGAAGCTGGGAGGATCCTTAATACCTTGCTGACCAACTCTTTAGAGGTGAATACCTTTTCAAGTGATTTTCAATTCATTTGTTATTATGGTAAACCTGGTCATCATCTCCTGGATGGGTTCGAACTCCTTCGTGGAGAAGAGCTCATATTTCCTCATAAGTAGTTCAATCCTTGATCTATTCACTTGATTTGTTCCTTCATGAGCAGTTTGAAGTGCATCCCGGATCTCCTTTGCATTAGAGCATACAGATATCCTATTGTACTTATTAGGACCAAGTCCACAGCTGAGGATCTTCTTGCCATTTGCATTCTTCTCCATCATTCTGAAATCTGCTGCCATGAATTCAGAGGGGTCTTTGGGAACAGTTTTATTTTGCCCATTTTGTTTAGTGGGAGTGAGTGGACCTCGATTCACTATTGTCCATAGTTCATGGTCTTCAGCCGTTAGGAATCTTCCGTTCTTGCCTTCCACCAACTGTAGTATTTTCCGTTGAATTGAGGTGATCTAGTAGTTGACTATCCTTCGTTAATCCTAGGTGGGGCACTCATTTTGCTTCCAAGATCTCTCTAGGTGTTAACCACGTGTGACAGAACCCGCTCGGATACCAATTGTTAGTTTTAGTGCCTTTCCAAATTACTAAAGAATTTGGTTTTTTACCTTACTCCTTAAGCGTAAACGAAATAAACAGTAAAACGAACACATCAAATTATATGTGAAAAATCACTCGACTCAAAGGTGCAAAAATCACAACCTACTACATAGGATTTTGACTTCAATTTCATTAAAATAAATGAGCCAAATGTATCGATTGCAAGGCCTGTAAATCAATACCCACAAGTTCTCATACTTCAACTATTTTTGACTTACAAGTTACTCTAACTTGCAAACTCAAATAATTACTTCAACTCACATATTATATATGATACTTTGATTACAAGTCGATTTCCTAAAGCACATTCACTAACTGACTCGAGAAGAATACTAAGACTCGTAATCAACTTGAGTGTTGAAAATGTAGTTCCACAATTGATGTGCAAAAGGATAAGTGTCCTCAGGCCATCAAGAAAGTATTTAAGATAGTTGGGCTCTGAGATCTTTTAGGAGTCCTATGCATTGCAACTTCTCATTTGATAGGACTACTACAGTTCCAAAGACTCAACAAATCTTGTGACTCTTGTCTATCTCTTATGCAAGCATATCTTCTTGGACAATGGCCCTTATCACATTAACAATCTTCTTCAAACAAACTCGGACTCAAGTAACTTTGGGAAAAAATTACTGCCTTGTAAGAACCTTCAACGATGACCTTAAGGACCTGGTTCTTAGAGTACTTCATCAGCTACCTTGAGGACCTGGTTCTTAGCGCACATTCTCTAGACAAACTTTGTTAATCACCAAAACCCCAATACTCAACATTTCTACTTTGCTTGTGTTATATGCAGTTACTAAGAATGATATTGATGGATCTAAGACAGCTTTTGTAGCATCAGCCAATGCATTTGAGAAGTGGACAACCTCAACGGGTTTGGTTGAGCAACTCAAAGGGCTTTGAAACTAAGGAAAACAAACTCCTACATGTACCTAATAATAAAGAATTTGGTCCCAACAAATTTTCCATATCTTTTCACCTTTGAATTTCTTTAAACCAACTGTTTATAAGCTCAGGAAATAAGTGACTGGATTAATAGTTAGTTTTGCCTTACACAATCTTTTAGGAAATAATTGCTACTGCATATTCAGGAGATATTTGTTTCAATCTCAAGAACACAAAAGAATTGGCCTGGATCTTAGGAGAACGATGTAAGAGCTCTATGAAGGTGGTCTTGAAATATTGGACATTTTCTTTTCGCGGTTAGGTAAGCATGGTGTCAACACTTGAGGTTTCATTATTGCAACTTGTGCAAAAATTGCGCGGTTCGAAGCTCGATGAATAATATGTTTTCCCCTTCACTCTTCTCAACTTGCATATCATGCCTTTGTTCACGACAGAGATCGAACTCGTAATGTATGCCTAACGCACACATCACCTACTGCACTCTTAGCAAATAAGGAAATCTTGATAGTCACTATCTTTATGTTGGTGGAAATGAAACAATCGCTACTTCGCAGCTCTTCGCTGCATAAACCTGCATTAAAGAAGAAACCAAGCGACATGAATTGTTAAGAGTCAACAGTAACTGAACATGGACTTATTACAAGCGTACATTACTGAGTCTGTCACACCATGCTACAGGGATCTAAGCAACCTACAAATTCCCTCCACACCGAAGGTCTAATATATGATGTAAGGTAGTAATGATACAAAGATCTGTTTAGGCTATAATTCCTTCTAGAGGACAAGGCTGCAAATTTTTAGGACCTAAAATCTAAGATTTTACGTACAGATATCTCATGAACAATCAGAGTATCTACCATTGACAACAACACTACAGTCACTAAAGAAAAGAAACAAGAGCAAAAGGTCAGAGAGAGAACGAGAGAGCCTATTAAGTGGATGGCATAGAATTGCTCCATGTCGATACTCAAGGGTAGGCCTCATCAGCCTCGTTTCCGTTTTCAGTTACTTCTGCCTCCACCTTCTTGCTTATGTCGCTGTTCATCAAAGCATCTCCATCTCCAGTGCTCTTTGTTGCTGCACCATTTTCATCTCTCTGTTCTTGTTCCGGTTGATGCTTCTTTTCCTCAGCAGCGCTACGATCCTCTTTCTTTGTTTCAGTAGGTTTCTGTTCTACACTTTCTTGAACTTGTACATCCTTCCCTTCCTCATCCTTAGTAGCTTCAGGAACATCAGCTTTTTTCTCGAGAGGGGCCTCTTTCACCACCGATGCCTCTTCAACATCTTCAGGATGTTGAAAATTATCTGCCATTTTGACATCTTTGTCACCCTCAGCTGCTTCGGCGGGAGCATCTTCTGCTTTGCCATCTTCAGTTTGGCCTTCACTTTTCTTGTCAGCTTGGTTCTCCTTCACAGCATCAACATTAGAAGAATGCATTTCATCTTTGTTCTCCGCAGCATTATCCGCCATTTTGACATCTTTCTCAACAGCAGCGCCAGGATCCTCTTTCTTTGTTTCAGTAGGTTTCTGTTCCACACTTTCTTGAACTTGTACATCCTTCCCTTCCTCATCCTTAGTAGCTTCAGGAACATCAGCTTCTTTCTCGAGAGGGGCCTCTTTCACCACCGATGCCTCTCCAACATCTTCAGGGTGTTGAAAATTATCTGCCATCTTGACATCTTTGTCACCCCCGGCTGCTTCTTCTGCTTTGCGATATTCAGTTTGGCCTTCACTTTTCTTATCAGCTTTGTTCTCCTTCACAGCATCAACATTAGAAGAATGCATTTCATCTTTCTTCTCCGCAGCATTATCCTCCATTTTGACATCTTTCTCAATGTCAGCCACTTTGGATGGAGCAGCTTCCGATTTGCCATCTTCAGTTCGGTCTTCCCTCTCCTTTCCAGCTCGGTTCTCCTTCACAGCATCAGAAGAATGCATTTCATCTTGCTTCTCTGCAGCCTCCTCAGTAGTTTGGACTTCATCATTCTTCTCTACGTCTTTCTCCATATCCTTGTTTTCATCTTTTCCCTCATCCTGTTTCTGTTCGACCTCCTTCTCAGCTTCCACAGACAGAGTATCCTTTTCATGTTTTTCAGCTTCTTGCATGTCAACATCCTTTTCATCCTTTGCCGCCTCTGTTTCTTCATGGACTTCTTTGTCTTTCACATCCTTCTTAGAAGCTGAAGATTTTCTGCTTCGCTTTTTTGGAGTCTCACTTTCTGCTGAAGGTGAAGCTGCCTTTGCCTTTCCACTGATTCTTGAGGATCTTCTTGGAGTTTCACCAGCTCCCCAGTCAAACTCCGTGATTGGCGGACTGCCAGGGTGTGACTTCAGGTACTGCTCCAACTGTCTCTTTGTAGTGATCTCCTCCCCCGTTGGCGCAGTAAATACGATCTCTTTTTTCTTCGGAGTCCCTCCTGCTTTCTTAGGCAGAAACTGAAAAAAAAAAATGGCCATTAGTATTTAAAGGGAATCGCCATCATTCTCCTTTTGTATTCCTCACCTTTTCTTGAGCTGGCTGCTAAAGAGGAATGTAAACATGGAAAGGAAATAAAAAATAAAAGCTCAGAAAGACAGGAAATTACTTAAAAGATGGAAAAGGAAATCAAAAGGCAAAGTTCAGAGAGAACAGAAGCTACTTCACAACATAAAAGGAAATCAGGAGAAAACACAAGTGTCAAACTGACATAACAGACAGTACATAATGATGATTTTCTGATAAGCAACTAAGATATAATTTTGTGGCTCAACTAATATCCACCATGTTCCCAACTGCTTTTTTCCAGGATTTTCCAACTGTTTTTAGCACAGAATTTGGAACATGCACAACCTCGTAACAGCTCAGTGAAAAAATAAAAAACAGATGCAACTGCTTCCCAGGAGTATCTTTCTCTTCCTGATCAAACGGGATTCTGAAGAGTTCCAAATTGTATTTATCAACTTAACTCCCAAATGAAGTAATCCTACAGACTACTAGCACATACAGAAGGCATAGGAGCGATATACATATAATGAAAGACACAGCAATCCAGCCAAAAGCGTCCTGGGATCTCCAATAACACGTTATTGTCTATGGTAGATAATGGCAAAAGGAAGAATGAATCTGTTAGGAAACTGTAAAACCAAAGCAATAACTTTTTTTCCTTTATCGATAGTGGTGGTATCCGAGGCAGCTTGTGCGCACCTCGACTATTACACCGGTGCTTGTTACCTCCCTCCTCTAGCTAAGGTACTGGGTAACTCTGCCCGCCAAGGCATAGTCGGATGTGAAGAAATCACTTATTGTTTATGTCTCTGTTTGGAGTTAAACCCTGGTCTCTAAGGTTTACGCGGACTCCATTGACCACTAGGCTCACAATATTGGGATCGCGAACCAAAGCAATAACCTAGACGAGAAGAAACACAAACTTTAAAAATGAGACAGCTCCGCTAAAACTGCTGGCTGAAATGCTTTCCATCTGAATAGAAGACCAGTGAAATAAGCATTCAAGCGAGTCAAATTTTTATGAAAAGGGGGTGGTGGTGGGGAAGGAAAAACATACTCGTGGAACTTCTTCGGACCAAGTTGATAAATTGCCTAACAATCTACTCAAGAATGACAACGGAACCACTAGGTCTTTTTCATTGCTCTCAGACATCATACAAATTGCACCATAGAGTTAGCATCTCCTATTGGTTTGTCTAGTAAAAAGGTTCACGTGAAATGACAGATTACTGTTTTCATTTGCTTAGATGTTTGAAGATTTAGGGAGGGGGGGGGGGGGGTCGTTACTATTTTAGGAAGTAAGCATTATTTTGTTCCACAATCTAAGTGGACCTATGACATTTAATTTGAATCAAAATAATAAGATAGTTCAATAAACTAGTAAAAGAATAACAACTTCACCCTAAATGCATATACGGTATAGGGAAACTAAATTCAAAGAAAGTCACCAAGAGGATGCCACCCACACACATATAGTTCATGAAGTTGACTTACACAGACTAATAAGATTATCGTCTAAATGTAAAATAAATGGGTTGAAGATATTCTAGAAATCTCAACAATACACATATTGAAATAAGTGGTGCTATCATCATTAATGGGCAAGATAGAAGGAGAGATAAATGTACAACATTAAATGTAGTACTTCCTCAGTCTCATTTACAAATATGAAGATTTTAGCCAAGGCATTGAATTAGAGAACAGAAACAGTACAAAATCGATCTCTGATTCTGAAAATGCCTTCATAAGAGGGAGCTTTATTAAAACAAAATGCCTCCATACAAGGAAGGCAAATCACAGATACTTCATTCAACAACAACATACCCAGCAAAATCGCACGAGCGGGGTCTGAGGAGGGTAGTGTGTACGCAGACCTTACCCCTACCTTGTGAAGGTAGATGGAGAGGTTGTTCCCGATAGACCCTCGGCTGCTACTTCATTCATTGCAAGAATATTTGGATCAAGATGGGGAGAGAAGGATGCAGAATATGTGTAAATTAGACCTAAAAGAGGCATTGACCATGTTAATTGGTCTTTCCTTTTCTGTCGGGTGAATGTATGGTTTTGCTAATTTTACAGAACCAGACATTCGGTTTTGTTAATAGGTGGATTAAATGAATTAAATTCTGCATATCTTCTGTCAAGTTCCCCATAGGGATGATATGGGAAACAAGGTGACAACATCCCATATCTCGTATGCTGATGATACATAAATTTTCAGCGAGGTATAAGAAGGAAAATTGTGGTTTCTAAGAGTTGTCTAGCTGATGCTGTTTTGGGGTAGCATATAAATCTTGCTGAAAGATCCTTGTTTCCAGAGATCAAGGTAAGCAACATTCATCAGCTAGTATTTCAGCTATCCACTGGGCTGTAGAGTAGGAGAATTTCCTACTGTGTGGTTGGGGCTCGCTTTAGGAAGAAGTGACGAGGAGAAATTAATCAGAGAAGGATTTTGAAAATTTTGAAGAGGATAGACCACCTAGAAGGAATAGTATCTGTACTTGGTCAAAGACTGACACTATACTGGGAAACAACTCAACAGTGTAAGAGCTGAGTTTCATGGAAGGAAACCCTAGTAAAAGCAAGTACCATTTGGTGAAATGGTTTATTGACAGAAACAGAAGGAAGTGGTCAATTGCACAATAAATCTCTGTTGTTTAAGTGGTAATGGAGATTTAATGGGGAACATAAATGATGATTTATAGAAAAGGTTAATCAAAACTAAATATGGCATGGACAGCCCATGGCGTATCAAGCCTATAACTCATCCGATGATGTAGCTTTATGGAAGAATATCAAGATGTTACGGGGTGGGGATTTCAAAATCTAGTAAAACTGGAGGTCCGCGATAGGAAGAAAATAAAATTGTGGTAAGATCCATTCTTTAAATGAAGTTTTCCTGACCTACACTGCATTATTACAGAAAATGAGACTAACACCGATAATTCCAAGATAGGTGACAGATGGGAGGTCAAATTCAGGACAAAATTGTATGACCAGGAGGCAGATAGAGTAGTTCAGCTTCTCGGCAAGCGGGAGGGCATTAGAGAGCTATCCCACGTCAAGAACTCCGATAATGAAAGCAGAGAAGCATGGCTTTATCTCTTTTAAATCTTGCTAATCTGGAAAAAACGATTAACAGCCTTGGAGAATTTATGGAAAAACAAAGCACCTTTAAAAGTGATGTTCTTCACTTAAATTGCTATGTATAAAGCAAAGCTTCAAAGAAAGGGAATATCATGACCTGCAATAGATGTCATGAGTGTGATAAAACAGTGGAAAACTTATATCCCCTGTTGCAGCATTAATCCCTAGCTTGGAAGTTTTGCTGTAAGTTCAGAAATGATAAACCTCATTCGAGTGAAGCGGGCAATGCTAACATGCTAAGCAAATAAAATGAGGCCACCTCCACCCGGACATGACAGCAAACAGAAAAGCAACTCAATGTCGTACAGAGTACTGACCGAATGCACATAGGATGGACAGCGTGGAAGCAAAGGACCTCCAGATAGCATTTAACCGAATAAAACTTTGATGTCTGCAATCTTTAGCTCTTTAGTGTAACATGAAAGATATAAATCATTTTGAGACCTTGTTGGACTTTATTGACTCCTAACAACACAGATGCCCTTTAAACATGTATAGATTTCAGTTCCACCTGGTGTTATTTCTTAATAAGCTTACTCCCTCTGTCTCAAATTATCTGTCATGGTTTCCAAAAATAGTTCTCTCAAATAATTCGTCATTTTTGAAATTCAAGACTAAATTAATTATTTTTTCCCAATTTTACCCTTAATATTAATTGTTCTTAAAGACTACAAATACCTCAATTATGAGTAAATATTAAATGAAGAGAGATTATATCTTAAGACATAAATAAGGGTGAAACAGTCAAAAACCTCACCTATTTAATACTTCCCTAAGGGGTATGTAAAAGAAAAATATGACAGATAATTTGAGACGGGGAAGTACTTACCAAAAAAAAATTTAAAAGATGAGTTGGACTCATGTTATATCTATCGTGCCCCAAAAATCTTGGTTATTGGAGTTCTTTTGCGGCCATCAACATAAAGCTCAAGGTATTAGATTGGATTAGATTATCAAGGCAAAAGAACTTATGAATGTCGCATAAGACAACAAATACTAATTTCTATAAGATATATCAGGTACAATGATGATAATTTATTCCAATATAGAAGTTTGAAGGTGAAAATTAAAAGCAATTCAGGCAACCAACTCCAAGAAACAGATCAAGCTTAGAAATATAACTATCCCAAAAAAGATAATAATAATGGTTAAGGCAGGGGGTAAAAGCTCATCAAGTTTTTCCCTTGGGAAAACAACGAGACTTAATCGCCTATGCAAGAAGTAGCTAGACATACATAACCCCAGAAAGCTCCAAAAATAACACACAAGGCAACTTGCAAATACATCTAGAAGAAGTGGCCAACGCAAATTAGAGACGGAATACGGGATGCTTCTCGAAGTGACCGAACTTCAAAAAAAAAGAAAAAAGAAGTGACCAAACTACAGCAACTTTCTAACTGAATTCAAGTTTGACTGCACCATCCCCTACTTGGAAGAAGGTTGCCAAGAGGAGAGCAAAAATATTTACAAGGCTAATTATTGCCTTACCTTCTCAAATAAATATTTATAAGATCCTGCCCTTAGAGATCAATATGGATGCCAGTTAGCTGCATGCATGTCACCATACCAGGACTGGAGTAAGGCGAGGAAGACTTCAATTAAGTCAGCTTTGATGATGGATCAATGGCAGTAACGGCAGGCAAAAAACTTACTCTCTGAGATCACCTAAACTGGTTCAGGGTCAAACCCGCTCCCCCCCCCCCCCCCAGGGAAAAATGAAAAAGAAAAAGAAAGAAGGCCAAGAATTAGGTTTCATTTCAGTTTCCATTCTGCAAAGCCAGGCCCCTGAAACTGATAATGCATG